TAAACATTTCGGCAATTTTTATTTACTGGCGAAAAAAAGTAAAAAAAAATTCAAAATTGAAGGCTAATATCCACGTTTTTTGAGAAATTTTAGAGGTTTCGAAACCGAATCTCGAAGAGACTTGAGATTTTAAGAAATATAGATCTCGGGGTCATATAATGTCGTTTGGAACCATTTATAATCATTATTTGTTGTTATAAAATTCGTGGTTGGCTTGAGTTAATGAAATCGATGCAAGTGGTAAAACGGTAAGTTGGCCGTTTAGAGGCAAATTGGTGGTCCCACTCCCCAATTGGACTACCGGTGGGCATTAGGGACCACGGTAAACATTTATGTTTCAGGCGAAAAAAAAATTAAAAAAATTCCAAAATTAAAGGCTAATATCCATGTAGTTTGAGAAAGTTTTTATGTTTCGGGGCTCGGTGTCGAAAAGCTTTGAGATTTTAGGGGATACATCTCGGGGTCATATAATATTATTTTAAACCATAAATGATCATTATATGTTGTCATAAAAATGTTCGTGGTAGGCTTGAGTTAATGAAATCGTGCAAGTTGTAGACCGGTAAATTGGCCGTTTGAAGGAAAATTGGATGGTTCCACCAAGTCAATTGGACTCCTGGAGGGTATTTTGTACCATGGTAAACATTTTGGCAATTTTTATTTCTGAGCGAAAAAAGTCAAAAAATTTTAAAATTGAAGACTAATATCCACGCATTTTGCGAAATTTTGAAGGTTTGGAGACTCGATGTCGAAAAGTCTTGAAATTCCAGGGAATACATCTTGGTGTCATACAATGTCGTTTGGAACCTTATATGATTATTATATGTTGTCATAAATGTTTGTGGTAGGCTTGAGTTAATGAAATCGGTGCAAGTTGTAAATCGGTAAATTTGTCGTTTAAAGGCGAATTTGATGGTTCTACCCAATGGGACTCCCCAAGGGTATTAGGGACCATGGTAAATATTTTGTTAATTTTTATTTTCGGGTGAAAAAAAAGTGAAAATTTTCCAAAATTGAAGGCTATTATCCACGCTTTTTGAGAAATTTTGGAGGTTTCGGGGCCCGTTGTAAAGCCTTAGATTTTAGGGGATACATGTCGGGGTCATATAATATCGTTTGGAACTATATATGGTCATTATACGTTGTCATAAATGTTCGTAGTAGGCTTGAATTAATGAAATTGGTGCAAGTTGTAAATCGGTAAATTGGTCGTTTAAAAGGAAATTGTATGGTTCCACCTACCCAATTGGACTCCGAGAACGTATTATGGATCATGGTAAACATTTCCTCAATTTAAATCTCTGGATGAAAAAAGTAAAAAATTCAAAAATTGAAGGCAAATATCCACGCTTTTTGAGAAATTTGGAGTGTTCGGGACCCAGTGTCTAAACGTCTTGAAATTCTAGGGAATACATCTTGGGGTCTTATAATGTCGTTTGGAACCATATATGATCATTATATGTTGTCATAAATGTTCATGGTAGGCTTGAGTTAATGAAACCGGTGCAAGTTGTAAACCAGTAAATTGGTCGTTTAAAGGCAAATTTGATGGTTCCACCTAGCCAATCAGACTCCCGGAGGGTATTAGGGACCATGGTAAAGATTTTGACAATTTTTATTTCGAGCGAAAAAAGTCAATAAATTCCAAAATTGAAGACTAATATCCACGCATTTTGCGAAATTTTGAAGGTTTCGGGACTCGGTGTCGAAAATTCTTGAAATTCCATGGAATACATCTTGGTGTCATATATTGCCGTTTGGAAACTTATATGATTTTTTTATGTTGTCATAAATGTTCGTGGTAGGCTTGAGTTAATAAAATCGGTTTAAGTTGTAAATCGGTAAATTTGTCGTTTAAAGGCAAATTGGATGGTTCTACCCACCCAATGGGACTCCCAAACTGTATTAGGGACCATGTTAAATATTTCGTCAATTTTTATTTCCGGGCAAAAAAAGTAAAAAAATTCCAAAATTGAAGGCTATTATCCACGCTTTTTGAGAAATTTTGTAGGTTTCGAGGCCCGTTGTAGAAAAGCCTTGCGATTTTAGGGGATACATCTCGGGGTCATATAATGTCGTTTGGAACCATATATGATCATTATATGTTGTCATAAATGTTCGTGGTAGGGCTGAATTAATGAAATCGATGCAAGTTGTAAATCTGTAAATTGGTCGTTTAAAGGCAAATTGGATGGTTCCACCTACCCAATTGGACTCCGGGAGGGCATTATGGACCATGGTAAACATTTCGGCAATTTTAATTTCAGAGTGAAAAAAAAAATAAAAAAAAATTGAAGGCGAATATCCACGCTTTTTGAGAAATTTGGAGTCTTCGAGGCTCGGTGTCTAAAAGTCAATTCCAAAATTGAAGGTTAATTATCCACGTTTTTTGAGAAATTTCGAATGTTTCGGGGCCCGGTGTCGAAAAGCATTGAGATATTAGGGGATACATCTCGAGGGTCATATAATGACGTTGGGATCCATATATGATAATTATATGTTGTCATAAATGTTCGTGGTAAGCTTGAGCTAATGAAATCGGTGCAAGTTGTAAGCCGGTTAATTGGTCGTTTAAAGGCAAATTGAATGGTTCCACCCAGCCAATTGGACCCCCGGAGGATATTAGGGACCATGGTAAACATTTCGGTAATTTTTATTTCTGAGTGAAAAAAAGTCAAAAAATTCCAAAATTGAAGGTTAATATTAGAGCTGTCATTTCGGGTAAACGGGTCGGGATTGGGTCGTGTTAGAGTGGGTCGGGTCAACTCGGGTTGGGTTAATGCCGTAACCTATGCGGGTCGGATTCGGGTTGGGTCATGCTTAAGTCGGGTCATAAATCTTATGGGGTTTGGGTCGGGTTAACAACAAGTCGGGTTACATTTGGGTCGAGTGAACAATAGGTCGGGTTTAATTCGGGTTTTCACGGTTTAAAACGGGTTTGGGTAATTCTCGGGTTCGAGTCGGGTTTGGCTCAAGTCAATAATTTGCGAGTTAGAATTAGGTCGGGTCATTCTCGGGTTTGTGTCGGGTTCGATTCAAGTCAATAATTTGCGGGTTATAATTAGGTCGGGTCATTTTCAATTCGGGTCATTCTCGGGTTTTAGTCGGGCTCGGTTCAAGTCAATAATTTGCGAGTTATAATCAGTTTGGGTCATTTCTAAGTCGGGTCGTTCTCAGGTTCAAGTCGGGTTGTATTCAAGTCAATAATTTGTGGGTTACAATCAGGTTAGATCATTTCCAAGTCGGGTCATATTCGGGTTCAACTAACTATAAATAGATAATTATCATTTTTATCAAGCTAATTATTTCCTTTGTATATAATATACTTTTTATATGGCAACATACTAGGAACTATAGTCTATAATTTAGGAAGATCATACAATTATCTCCTTTGATCATACAACAAATATATACTATATTTAACTCTTTAATTTGGGGATGATGCTCCTTTCTTTTGCTGACCGACTTGGTCTCCCTAGAAAAAATGCTTTGATCAATAATAATAAGGTGGTGTAAATTGCATTTAAGGTGATTTGAAATTGGGTCAGGAACAATTTGGATTGAATTTAGGCCGGTTCAATAACAAGTCGTGTTGATTTCGAGTCGGGTTAGTAACATATCGGGTTGAATCTTTGGGCCGAGTTAGTAATAGGTCGGGTAAATTTTGGGTCGGGTCACTAACAAGTCGGGTTGAATTTGGGTCAGGTCAATAACAAGTCGGGTTGATTTTGGGTCGGGTTTAATTCAGGTTTTGATAGGTTGAAACAGGTTTGGGTCAATTTCGGTTCAATTCGGGTTCATTTCAGGTCAATAATTTACGGATTACATTCGGGTCGGGTCATCTCTAGGTCGGTTCATGTTCGGGTTCGGGTCTCACATACTCGGGCCAACTCGGGTCTAGGGTTGGTTTCAGGTTGGGTCAGGTCGGTTTTGGTCACCATTTTTTCGGGTTTAGATGGGTCGGTTAATAATCGGGTTTGAGTCGGTATTTTGGGTCGGGTCAACTTTTGACAGCTCTATATGTAGTCCTGTTCTCCTTTTAATTTTGTCCCCCTTTCAACTTTTCTACTTCACAAAATATTGTCCCCTGCTAATTATAAATGTTAAATTCATATAAGCTGTGCAGATTTCCTAAGAATAAATGAATTTGCAATGAATGTAATACCTTTTAGTCGCATCATTTCATGAAAGCACGTGTCTTAATTGAGTTTAATATTGAGCATCATAAATATTTAGTCAACAGCATGTTGGCATTTGGGCAACTCATCTAATGATGTCTCATCTGTAAAGTTAAGGGACAAAAATTGTTACTTTAGACAGGGTAATTTATAGTGTTTTATCTAACTTCCCAGGAGTGGGAATCATATTATTTTATGTGTACACGTTTATCTTGTTGTTGGTTGCTATCATTTTGTATTGTTTATAGTTAAGGATGTGAATATTTGGTTCTCCCAAACCCATCTCAAAAGTATTTAGGCTGGGTTGTCTCTATGGTCACTCTTTTTTTGTTTATCCATTCTTGATGATCTAGTAATTGGTCTTATTTCCTTACGATTTTGCTACTACACACTATGGATGTGGAATTAAATGAATTATCCTCATAAAGATTTGTCTTAGCTTCAAGTATTCTGTTGAATGATTCTCCCTCCATCACAGAGTAGTAACCATATTTAGTAATTTTGGGGTCAGCTTATAAATTGCTCCTCTGATTTACTCTTAAAGTTAGTCAGCTAATAAATGCAAGAGGAATCAGTGGTCAAAGTTGTGCCTTGAAAATCATTTGAAGTCAATTCGGACTTTATAATGGGATACAGGGAATAGTTCTTTCTCTGATTGCTTTCCTCAATACACCTCCTAAGTTCACTTTATCTTTGGATCTTTTAGAACAGAAAGGGTGTAGGGGTGGGAAGGGGAAGAGAAAAGTGGGAAACGCTAAGGCAGAGTACTGTATCAATTTCCAAATTGCCATGACTGTGATGCTAATGACTCAATGTCTGCAGATTATTGTTTTGTGAAGTATGCATTCACTGAGGAGGCTGACAGAGCAATAATAGCTTTAAACAATCAATTCACTTTTCCTGAAGTAAGTCAATAGAAGTCAGATAACTTGTTATTGAGTTTTCCTTTATCCCCTTGCTGTATGAACCATGGATGAACCCCATCATATAACCTCTTATTTACAGGCTATGGCTCCCATTAGAGTAAGATATGCTGATGGAGCCAGACAACGACAAGGTATTTCCTTAATTGTACGAAGTATTGTGTTCTGTTCTCTCTGTAACCTTTTTGTATTAGCATCATATATGAAGCCTGTGTCCTTGGTCCGTCAAACATCGTTTGCTTTTACTTCTTTATTTATTTATGTACTTTATTAATTCTTTTTTTTTTTTTGCTCCTTTTCATTTTCTATTTTATCTCTTTGATTTGGTCCATTGACCATCTGAAAGTAATTGGTTATTGAAGAATGAGGAACATAAGGTTTCAACCCTGTAAAATTTCTTCAGATTAAAGGTGAAAGTTGTAACTAGTGTGTGGCTTGGTTGATGACCCAATTATTTATTTATTTCTTAATTTTATAGCATCATATTGTTGTATGTGCTCTGGCTGTCTGGCAAGATAGGCAAGTTTGGGTTTTCTTTCATATATTATCTTGAAAACCTTTGATTTTATTTTAGCTTAGATTGTGTGTTGCACCTTGCACATTTTTAAGTGAAACTGTTCTTTATCCTTTTTGTGTCATTTGAATTGGGAGAACCATTCTTAATGTCTTGTATGCTACAATCCAAATATGTTTTTTTTTTTTTTTTTTTTTTTTTGAAGGAACAATCCAAATATGTTCATCATTTATTGACTATTGAACTGGGAAAATGTTAGTTTTCTGATACATGGGAATAAAAAATGTAATTAATTAAAATCATAAAGTTGTTTCCTTAAAGAAAATTAAAATTGTCATGGAATCATTACCTTGTGGAGATCAACTTTTACTTTCCTCGTTTTCTTTACTTGACCCATAGTTCTTGGCACAATATTTAAGGAGAGGAGAGAGAGAGTGTAATTGGTGCACAGTTACTTTCTCTCCCGTTGAGAGTACAAGAATTGTTGTTCCCGCATGCACTTTATAAGGGTAATTTGGTGAATATGACTACTAACTGCTGACCAAATTTAGTATGGATCAAGTAATTTGACATTTTCATTTTAGGAATGTTAGTTAAGTAAATATAAACAGAGGAAGTAATATAAGAACAATTGAAAAAGTGCAAAATAAAGTAACCTGATTCAACTTGGATATTATTGAATTAAATAAGGATTTGTTGACTAAGATTAAGGAATTAATTCTTATCCAATTTTGTTGGTCCCAAGTTCGTAAAAGCAATCTTTATTGACACGCTCTTGGATGTATGAATGGCATGGCATGTTTTTATTGTGGGAGGTGGGGTGCCCACATTGCACTTATTTGTGTAGGAAACTAGGAACGCTTTTAATATATCAATAGTTTTATGCGAGAAAACTTTGTGATAAAACTGCTACATTATTATCTGGGCTTTTGCCATGTACTCTAGAGCTGTTTGTCATATTATTTTAATGTGTAATGGAATTGATATGGGTCATCTTTCTATGTGTTTACTTTGTGTTCTTCCCCGACTTGTTTTTGTGGGGCACTTTCTCTAGGTTTGGAGCGTCCAGTGCAACATGATTCCTGCCTTGCTAGACCAGGTACTATCTTTAAGAGAAGGTAATTTATTTTGCTAACTACTGATTGGGTGCTCACTTTTTTCTTTCTTTGTTACCTTTTTGTTGAATTGCTCTCTAGGCTTGGTGCAAAATGATTTGGCCTTTTCTGGACCAGGTAACTTCTTCAGAATAGATGAATTTATGTCTGTCTATGACTAATATTACTTGTTTCTCTCTAAAGTTTGAAGGTATTGTCATATATATGTTTTTTTGAGAAATTTATCTTTCTGGTTTACGTGTCGCAGCAATTGTCGGACAGAATCTGCACAAACTGTATGTAAATGGCTTTAATAGAGAAGCTTCAAAACGGGAGATTGAGGAAGTATGTTAACTCTTTGTATCCTTGGCCAATCACTTCAGAAATAATTGTTTTCTTTAATGTCACGAATTAGACCTAATTGGAAGACCCGTTGTTTGTGGTATCCAAATTAATTTCGATGTTGGCATCTTTGGATAGAATCATAGAATAGCTTTTTAATAACTTTTCCTTTTGTCAGATATTTTCTGCATATGGTGTTGTTGCTGATGTTTACGTACTGCGTGATGAATCTAAGCAAAGCCGTGGTTTGTTTTTGTACCCTTAACTTTCCACTCACTCTTTTCATTTCTTTATACAAGGGTGTGTTTATTATGTAATGGCTTATGTTTGCTATTGTTCTGCTGCCTAATTTGGTAATCCTCAAATCTTACCCTTAGATATTTACCTTGGCCTTGATTATGTTTCGTATGATGTGATTGTGATACATTTTATTTTGGCATGATATCTTTTTCTTTATGGTGTGAGACTTTATAATGTGCAACACCATTGACTCATTTTTCCAAATCTGTTGTTGCTTCTTGTCACCATCTTAGCTGTAAGTAGTAAGTGCTGAGTGTGGTACTGTTGTTGCTTTTTATCTTTTTTAGTATTATTGAACAACTTTATGTGAACTTGATCAGTATTCATCCACCATGTTTGCTTTCACTTTTTAAAAAATTTTTGTGACATCAATTATTCTTGTCACTCCTGTGTCTCAGGCTCATCTTCAGGTGATACCTCTTTGGGTGGTGGTGAATTTTTAGTTTTGTTACTAATGTTATGTTTCTTTTGCTTTCTTTGATCACTGTGTAGATTACTTTCTTTTTCCTCTCTTAATACTCAAGTGGTCATGTTCAAACCATGTAGGATGTGGCTTTGTGGGCTTTACTCAAAGACATATGGCTGAGGCAGCAATCAGCGCGCTAAATGGAACCTATGTGATGAAAGTAAACCTGCTTAACTTTTATTTTCATCTTTCCAAGTCCTCTATGTTGATGATTGAATTTACTTGGTACTCAAATTTTCCTCAGGGGTGTGACTGTGCATTAGCTGTTCGTTTTGCTGAACCTAAGAAGCCAAAGAATGTAGAAGTCAGGTAATTATTCTTCCATCACTTGGTTTGACAACAAATTCAGAAATCCTATAGGCCCTTTACAATTTGTAAACTTGATGCTATCTTACTGCATAATTTGGGGATGCTTTTAATTTTACTGGCAATGAAGCTAGTATTGAGTAAATCTTCACACTTCAGTTGTGGAGCACACCCAAACAGCAATATAGTGTCAAATATTGGAACCATTTTCATTGATGATGATAACAATTGTAATTAACTCCTGATGGTCATATTTTGTTCTTTTGCGAAATTATTGCCAGTGTAAACAATTTGCTGTCATTTAGACTTTATTGATGTGTCCTTTTAAAATTCAAATCGGACTTGCTTTCGTACGGGGATTTTTTTGCTATTATCTTTCATCTGTTTTGGAGAACCAATTGCTCTCTAAATCTAGCATGGCTGTTTGGATGATACATATTGGGAGATAATAATAATGGGTGGTTTAGAATTGGGAAACCAATTTGCTTCTGGACTCTACAGTTGGAACCTGGGAATATACTTTTCTCCAATATCCGAGAAATAAAGGTAGGTCATTTAATTTAGAAAGATTATCAATAGGGATTCTGTGGTGGAAGTGTTATTGTTCTGTCTTCTGACGGATCTTGGTTCTGATCTCTTGTTGATTTGTTGTTTCTATTAAATGCGGCTTCTATATAATGTCAAATGTTATGTATCAGGGTATGTGTTGGCCATGATAAACTAAATCAGTAATGCAACTCTCTTTTCCTTAATGTGGGCTGATTAATGATCTATGTTTTTGCCCTCGTGAATGATAGATTGATACAAAGTAACACACAAAGCCATAAGATATGTAAATATCACTATGGCATCTAAATATATATATACACTTTGTATATGTTTTACTTTGCTACCACTCAATACTACTTTGTGCAGGCCAATTCCAAATCCTGTGGATATGCGGGGAAGTAGCAAGTCCAATGCTCTACATCTGGTTAGTACATACTTGCCAATCTGGATAAATTGATATTATGCGTTCTGTTTATTAAAAGAAAGTATGTATGCACATGACTAGAATTCTTTTGTTTTTTTTTAAAAAAAAAAAAAAAATAGCCTTGGGGGGAACCTTTAAATATTTCAAGATCTCTTGGTGAATCTTTTTGCTAAAGTATGTTTTCTTTCTCAATTGAATCTCAGTTGCTGTCCGCACAACTACTTTTTGCAAATAATGTTCTGACCTTAAATTTGTTATACTGCATTGATATATCTTGTATGTCGTCATTTTGGATTTACCTATTGAATGGACTTTAGTTTTCTTTTCATCATTTTAATTATTATATAGTGATTTGAGTTTAATGGGCAAATTCTAATTAAAACTACTAGTATGTGGCTAAAACTACTAGTATGTGGCTATTATTTGAATTGCAGTACTATGCTATTAAACAATTTCTGTTTTGTCTGTGGGTTTTTTATTAACCATTTGAGAAATATTAAAAGAAATAGTTTGAGCTTACTGCAGGGTAACTCATCAAATTCCATGCAAGTAAACAACACAGGCATACAAGGTAACAGTTTTCCTACAGTGGGAAACAGGTTGGAGTGTCCTGCTAATGAGATGCAGAAACCACTTCACAAGCCAATTTCACCTTCACGGTTTTCTCAGATGTCATTACAACACTCACAGCCTTTGAAGGGGAGCCCTCAGCCCTCCAGACAAGCTGAATGTCAGCTTTCAACACCATTGCATTCAAACCAAAAATCAAATAACAGTATAGAGCAGCAAAATGATGATCAGGTTTGCTTCAACTTGTGTTTTCACATTATTTGCCGTATATTCATGGACAACTTTCTGTCTCTGAGCTATTGCCATATGTGTGTATCTAGTTTCTCATTTTTTGTCTCTTTTATTTTCAGTCACCCCAGACCTGCAGAGATACTGGATCAAATTCAGTTATGCTGATCTCTGAACCTGCTCTGTGTCCATCCAGAAGTGATTTGTCAGAAAATCCTATAGACTGTGATTGGAGTGAACACATCTGCCCTGATGGATGCAAATACTATTACAATTGTTTGACATGTGAAAGCAGGGTAACATTTCAATGTCTTGCTAGGCTTTAACCTGTTTCCTCGCTTCTGGTTCTTATCTTGTTGGCTCACTTTTATGAATTTTGTAGTGGGAAAAGCCAGAGGAGTTTGCCCTTTATGAACAACAGTTAAAAGGGAGGCAGGTGCATAAACATTCTTGTCAAGAGCCCCGTCTCTCAGCTTTGGAGGCTTCATCTGTTGTAGAAGACTGTCAAATCCAAGCAGCACATGATCAGAAGGAACCATGCGATTTCGAAAAGCCCCATTTGACAATGTCGTGTTCTGTGGTTAGTCTTCCCTATGCTCCCGTTACTAATTTTTTACTTGCTTTTTTAATTTGTTGCATATAATGTTTTTGATGTCTGGAAAAGGTTATTCAGTTCTCTAATTAGTAGTACTGTTTTATGGTTGGACTTTCTGATGATGCTCTGACTTAAATATAGCATTGTTTCTTAATAAATTCATGTCATATCAAGAATTGAGACAGTGTAACAACTAATTCCTGAGGCAGGGTGAGGAATTTCATTTTAGCAAGTTACTCCTCAGTCCTCACCCTTCATTTACTCATCTTTTGTGCCAATCCTCTATTATTATATTACTAAAACGTCAGATTGACCCATTGATTGAAAGTATAACCTGTGCGGCTGTGCCAGAGTTGTTTATATCAATGGTCGTCGTTATTCGGTGGGATTTTGACATAGCTTAATATACGGTAACATCACCCCTGTGTTCATTGTCCAACTGAGATTATGAGAAAAATTAGTATGTCATTGGCAACACAATATTTTAATTTTTCCAAGGAATGATTTGGTCCAATTACATTTTTAAGGTTTGGAAATATATCTTTTTCATCCAATTGAAGTTATGAGGCCTTTTCAACTTCTATTTTTACTATGAAAGTTGGCTTTGAATCTGTTTTGTTTCTGTTACACTGCAGGAACATGGTCATGAGCAAGTACAGGCAGAAACCAGTGCACTTGGTGGGCCGTCTTTTGTTCAATAGGTAGCATCTCAATTTTTTTCAATTTTTTTTTCATAAAAAAATATTATTATTTTGCTTTCCTTTTGCTTGTAACAACTTGGTATTAGATCTGTATATTATCTATATAACGACCAGGAAACTGTATCAAAAGGGAAGTTCTTTTTCGTGGGTTTTTTCTTCCTGCTAGCTCTGCATTTAACTGTAAGTATACCAATGATGTGCTAATTTGGAGTTACGCATTGATCATTGTTTAATCCACGATAAATATGGCGTGCAACCTTGAAAGGATGTCTCTTAGGTAGAACAAAAAAGGCAAGTACTGCTGTGAATTGTGGTATAATTTGTTGAAATGCTGATCAATCTATGGTCTTATTTAACTTCCACCAAATCTATCAGGAAGTATTGTAGTTATGTTTTTACACAGGAAGCTGAGGTCGGAATCTTGCATGATAGTATATCATTATAAATTGTTGTGAGACCGTCTTAGATAAGTTTTGTTCATCTTCAAACTCGGTACATTCTTAACATAATGTTAATTTCATTCCTTTCCTGCTTAGAGATTCGACTCATCTAATGCATAAAGTAAGATGAACAAGTAGTTTCAGTAATAATACCCCTACTTCCAGATTCTCCTCAACAATGTTGTATGAACTTATATCTCGTATCTTACTTCAAATTACGACATAGTATTATATCTAGTCATTAACCTTGAGAATATTTCATAAACACTAGAACCAAACATAAAAATGTACCAACAATTAAGACAAAAGTAACATAGATGCATTTATATACAAGTCATGCACACAGTTTATGAACCAAAATACAAAGTAATGGTTAAAAAAAGAGTGTGTTGAAGACATTCAATGAAAGAAAAGGCAGAAGAAGAGGGGCAGGCAGCAGCAAAGCATGCACGAAAGTAGCAAAAAGAATGCACATAAATTCAGCGTGATCAAAGTGGGGTATATTTATATACTTGTATTAACTACTGTTACTATAGTTGTTGTCTTCTCAACCTATTATTATTATTATTGTTACTTGTTTTGTTTTGTGTTGTCCATCCGTGCGTCCTCTTTAGGATATTTCAATCTACTTCATCAATGACTATCAGATTGCTGCATTGTTTTGTGTTTTTAGAACTCCCATGTTTTCAGTGAATATTTTTCGAAATCACGGTTTATTTATTTTAATGTTGACGCTTTAACAAATTCTTATATACGAATTGACATTAAGTCGAAAGTTCACTATTTTGAGTGTCTTGTTATTATTTATTACTATATTTTTTATCCTAATTTGTCACCACCTCATATCATTAACAAAACTATGTACTAATTTAATCATGTAGTAAAACACATCTTGGAACATAATTTCTCTCATTCTTAGGACCGGCATACATATATATGAAGTACGGAGTAGCTTATTATTTCTTACTATACGTATCACTAATTCACTATCAATGATACAAGTATATAGTATACTACGGAGTATTTTTTTTTTTTTAAATTCAATTCTCGATGTGATGAAAGATCAATAAACTCAATTTAAAAAAACTACCAAGGCTCCTATTTATCTTGAAACCAAAATAGAAATACTCCGTAGTAGGACTAGATTACTCTGTCTTACTCCGTATTGTTATACAACTATGAAAATGATATGCAAATCAAGATTATTTTCAACATACAAGATAAAAAGATTTTATTTTATTTTATTATAAAAAAAAAGGTAAAAACAGATTCTGAAAAGGAGTGTATGAACGTGGCCCTTGCTTTAACTTTAAATATAAACCAGAATATAGTCTAGTCTATATATGAAGCTCAATTCCCCAGATGAACAATGCAAAACCGAAAGTTTTTCTGTCATTACATACCTATATGTAATCAATATATCATACGTACTTTGTTGCATCTCTTTCTTGTAAACCCTAGCTAAGCTCCTACTCCTCTTCTTTTGCCTAAAACCCCTCTTATTTTCCTCCATTCCCTATCTACTCATTCAATGCTTCTCTTCCTCCTTTTTAACCCAACAAAGATACTTGCCCACTTCTTCTTATTTACCTTTTTTAGTCTTTTTTTATACACATACTAGTAATTTATCTATAGAGTGGACAAGAGTACAGGCAATGAGGTAAGCTTCATTAAATTCTTGTACTATTACATCAAAGGCATTCATCTCGATGAGAATGGTTATGATCATGATCATCCTAGTATGTGGCCGTGTTTAGAAGCACTGCACACAACACGGTTTAGCTGATACCGTCTCACACTAATTTACTGTGAACATCAAACAGTCAGTAATTGTCTATTACATGATCTCGTCATATATGTGCAGTGTGCACTTGCGTATCAAATGAGAATTTTAACTAAAGGAACCATACATAAATGAAAGAGATCGATAGATAAAGGGAACTAACAAGTACTAGCATAGTAGTAGTAGTTTTTCCATATCATATTCCAATAACCAAAAGTTGATACAATGACAAATTCCTCATATATGAAGAAGCTAAGTTCTCATTTATATGATGATGATTATGGATCTTTTACACCAAATTACACTAGCTAAGATCAGTAGTGAGAGGATACTACTAAAATTACAAACCTAGTCAGCAAAATAAATAAATTTAGAAATTCAGAATACAAAAATACACATAAAAAATACTAATACTATACTATATATTATATGATCAGATCATCTTACTCTTCTTTTTTCATAATAGAAGGAACTATATCTTGTAGAAGCCCATGATCTCTAAGCAAAGCTGCGCTAACTGGAGTAGAATTTGCAGCACCACCACCACAAAAGCGCTTTTCTTGTGAAGCTAATATTGAACAACTATTACCAACATTAATATTATTTGGTAATGTAAGACTATTATTATTACCAAAATGATTAAGTTGAGGTACCAAGCCAGTGACATAATTCATGTGAAGCTGATTGTTAACCATTTGCACTGGCAGGGCAAAGGGGGAGGCTGCACTAGCACCACAACCACCACCAACACCGACACCGTAACCGGGACTAGGCATAACCCCACGTGGAAGGACAGTACAAGGGTGGGCATGCTGACCTTCATAAGTTGTAACAACAATGGATGGATCAGTGAAAGACCTCTCCACTCTTTTCTTTACATTACATGATGCACTGGTGCAACGGTAATAACTCCTACAAAAACAAATCCCAAAAAAATTAAAAAAAAAACATAATAACACTATCAATTTTTCAGTGTAACAATAATTATTTATACACTGAAATTGATGAATTTCGATTGGATGGTTTATCATATGGTATAGTGTAGTGTATAATGTAAAGTTTTAAGAAATAAGTTTTTACACAAAAATGGAGAAAATTAAAGAGAGTATATACCTTGGGAAAGGGCTGTTTTTGACAGCTTTTTGGCCGTACTTTCTCCATCGATAACCATCTTCTAGATGATCAACCTCACTCTTTGTCATGAAAGCAAATCTTGGCTCTCTCTGCCGTTTCTGATTTGTCTTTTTGGCTTTTGACGTGGATCTTTTTAAAACGGCCAAAATACACCCAATACATAATTAAAGTTAGAGAAACTTCAAATGAAATTTATTTTAATTGAGGGTATTTTATGAATGGATTATCATTCAAACTATATTTTATATGCTTAGATTAATATACTATATGCACAAAGCAAAGCACAATATGTACAGTATCATTACAGATTTGGTACCAACAAATGAGAATTAAAATCAGAGTAAAACACACTAAAAAACCTCTTTTTTTGCATTTTATCAGAAAAACATTTGATGACCCACAACTTCAAATCCACTTAAAATCACAAAACAAAATGAACCCATTTTCCCATTCACACTACTTTCAAATGGGTTTATCTCAAAAAAAAAAAAAAAAAAAAAAAAAAAAAAAAAAAAAAACTTACTGTTTCTTAGCTTTTTGTTCAAGCTCATCTTCACCATCTTCTTGTTGGTGTTCTTCATTTGATGCAGAAGAAATAGAAGACGAATTGGGAGTTGTCGGAACATTATTACTATTACTATTATTATTGACAACCTCAGAAGATTCTGGATTAACAACAATGGAAGAAGAAGTAGGAGGAGGAGGAGCAATAGTAGTAGTAGTAGTAGAAGAAGGAAGGGTGGGATCCACTGAAGTAGAAAAGACTTGATTTTGTGAACTCCCATCATAACCATTGATCATCATCATATCATACAAAGAAGAAGGGTTTATATTTTGAATCATATCTTGCATACCTAACAATTCCATAAACCCTGCTGTAGTTGATGCTGAAGAAGAACAACTAATCTTGTTTTGATGATAATCAAATGAATCATAGCTTTCAAAACAGCTTGAATTGGCTAATGATGTTGTTGTTGATGAAGATGAATGATGATTTTCACTTAAATAATGGTAATTACTACTACTATTATTGTTGTTGTTGTTGTTCATCAAAGTTTCCATCATTACTGCTTTCTTCATCTCCATTTTTTTTTAGGGAGAAAATTTTCAAAGTTTGTAGCTTTGAATTTTTACCTAATATGATTCTCTCTAGCTACCACCTTAAATTAGAGAAGAGAGAGAAAGAGGTGAAAATGAAAGAGGGTTGAGGAAGAGAGAGAGAGAGAGAGAGGAGAGAAAAGAGTAGATTTTGGTTTTAGGATGGATTGAAAAAAGTGGAAATGGGTACAAAATCAATATCAAATTAAATATGCAAAAAAAATGTTGTACTAGTACTATTACTCTAGTAAGAAGTAGGTTTTATATTTATTGGCTATATTTTTGGTGCTAGGTTTGAAGGACTCCCTAGCTAGATAGCTAAATGATTTTTATAATGTATGGCTTAAATATATCGAATTTGAAATTATACTAATTAGCCCATACATTAATTAATACTCCCTACATGAATTATTTATTTATAACCATTTTCTACCTGATAATATAACGATTCTCTACATAATAATATAGTGCTATGTTTATTTCTATAAGTTTAATACCTTTACTTTCGAAATCTGAATGCGGAGTATCTATCCACAAGTATAATTTAACATTGTTTTTTAAATTTTAAAATTGTAAATGGATTCTAGGCCGTCCAAACAAACTTGTTGTAATTCTTTAGGGAATTATAATGTTGGTGTATAAAAAACTTGAAGACTTTGATTAAGACTTTGGTTTATAAGAGTGATGAATTAAATGTAATTATATACTTCGTAGTATGTATATTAAGGTGAAAATAATATTACTTGTACAATGACGTATTGTGATTACTGAAAAATCTTGAAGAAAAGATATTTAAAATAAAAAATAAAATAAAAAAATACAAAAAAGGACACGTGTCGGTCAAGTAGAGTACGGACAAAGACGTGGCTTGGTTGGTATTAAATGCAAAGAGACTTTGGTCGAAGGA